GATGCTAAAATTGATTAAGTGGGTGCAGGTGGTATCAGCCTGATCCCTCCATTATAAAATTCCCTTTCCTATTAGAGTTTTCCAGAGAAACAGAACCAATAGTATAGATAGATGGGGATTTATTATAAGGAAATAGTTCACGTGATCATGGAGGCTGAGAAGTCTCAAGATCTGTAGTCAGCAAGCTGGAGACCCAGCAGAGCAGATGGTACAGTTCCACTCCAAGTCCCAAAGCCTGAGAATCAGAAGAGCTGATGGCCTAAGTTCCAGTCTGAAAGATAGCAGGCATGACCCCCAAGAGACCAATGTTTCAGTTCAAGTCTGAAGGCAGTAAAAGACCAACGTCTTAGCTCAAAGAAGTAAAGGAGGAGTTCCCTCTTACTTGCAGAAGAGTCATCTTTTTGTTCTAATTACATCTTCAACTGACTGGATGAGGCCCACCCACATTAGAGAGAGAGCAATCTACTTAGTCTACTGATTCAAATGTTAATCTCATCCAGCAGTACCCTCACAGACTTACCCAATATAATGTTTAACCAAATATCTGGGCACCCTGTCACCTATTCATGTTGATCCACAAAGTTAACCATCACACTATCTTTCACTGAATACTTTTAGCAGACACTAATGATTATTGCCTATATTAATTACCTCATCAGGTGTTTAAAATGGTGATTTTTATTTCTTTTTTCTTTTCTTTTCTCTTTCTTTCATAATTTAAATTTTAGGTAGTTAACATAAAGTGCAAGATTGGTTTCTGCAGTAGAATTCAATGATTCATCACTTACATACAACACCCAGTGCTCATAATAACAAGTGCCCTCCTTACTACCCATCAAAAATGGTGGTTTTAAAATGCTAATGTTCCTTCTGCATTTATTAGTTAAATTTTATCAGTATAAACTGTTCTTCATCAACTATTTGATTACCCTGAAATAGTTTGTGTGGAAAGGGTTTGATAGGGATGCCTGGTTGGCTCAGTCAGTTGAATGTCTGCCTTCAGCTCAGGTCATGATCCCAGGGTCCTGGGATCGAGGCCCGCATTGGGCTCCTTGTGCAGCGGGGAGCCTGCTTTTCCCCCTGCCTGCTGTTCTCTCTGACAAATAAATAGATAAAATCTAAGGGGAAAAAAAGGGTGTGATAAATGTGTCCTTTTTGATGACTTACATTTCTAAGTAGTTATCACTAATATACCCCCAAACTCCTTTTCAGTTGTCTGAATCATTTTCAGTATGATCATTTCCATCAGAAGCTCTATTAATTTTGTCTTCCTAAACAAGGCTCTCCAAGGGCCTTCCGACTCCTTGGAGAGCCTTCTGACTGAGTATCCTCTAGACCCAGTACATGGCTAACATCCCCGGATCTTCCTTCACCATCAACCTGGGAATTCCCTTTGGGCAGTCTCCTGTGTGGAAACTTCTGTTCTCTGAATGCCATGTCTCCCTTTTTCCATTTAAGTGGAGCATATCTTCCACTATTTCCTTGAGAAAGGGTGTATAACTCCAAATTCTAGGTTGGAAATTATTTTCTTTCAGAACTCTGAAGGTATTGTTCTATTTGTCTTCTAGCTCTCAGTGTTTTTCTTGGTACCCTCAATTCATTTTCATTCCTGATTCTTTGTTTTTGAACTCTCCTTTTCCTTGGAAGCTTGTAGGGTTTCCAAACAACGGTGCTATGCTTTGTATGTTCAATTTTTATCCATTGAGCTGGACAGTCAGTGAAAGACTCAAGTCTTTCACTTCTAGGATATTTTGTTGAATAATTTCCTTGGTTATTTCTTCCTGTGATTTTTCTCTTTCTGGAATTCCTAATATTTGGATGTTGGATTTCCTGGACTGTTCTTTCTTTTAAAAATTCTATTTCTATTTTAGAGGATTTTTGCTCTGCATTCTGCGAGATATCTTCACCTTTTCTTCCACTCCTGCTATCTTGTGTTTAATTTCCAAGAGCCCCATTTTGGTTCTGAAAACTTATGGCATTGCCATTTTATCAATAAATCCTTCAATATGTAGCTTTAAAATTACTCCTTAAAAAATATAACAACAAAGCTATTATCACCAAAAAATGTAAGCTTTAATATCAAGAATCCAGGGACTCTTCAAATTTCCTCTCTTGCTATATACATTAAAAATTTTTCTCTATCTGAGTCAGTGGTCAAATAAATTCCATTTATTTTATTTAATTATATAATTAATTATTTTTTAAGATTTTTATTTATTTGAGAGAGACAGAGAGAGTGACAGATATAGCAAGAGAGAGCATGAGCGAGGAGGAGAGGGAGAAGCAGGCTCCCCACTGAGCAGAGAGCCCAACTTGGGGCTCAATCCCAGGACCCTGGGATCATGACCTGAGCCGAAGGCAGATGCTTAACTGAGCCACCCAGGCACCCCAAATTCCATATATTTTAATTGCTTAATAGTAATCTTAGGTTTTCTTTTAATCTTCAGTTCTTTGTTTTTTTTTCCCCCTTTAATTGAACTATTTAAGAATCAGGTCATTATGATGTAGGGTTTTCCACAGTTTGGATTTGGTTGCTTGCATTTATGGTGATTTTACATCTTCCTCTTTCCTCTGCATTAACTGTAAACTGGTGATTAGGCCTGAAAGCTTGATTAGGATCAGGTTTGATTGCAAGGGGGCATTAATACTACAGGAGGCAAAAAAATCATCAGGAGGCAAAAAAGTTCTGATGTTCTTTATTTTCATGATGTTAACAGCCATGAACATCATTGTCTTTATCCATTATTTCATTAGAAGGTAAAAATGGTGATATCATAATCTTCTCTTTCCTTCTTCATTTATTAGCTATATTTCTACAAGGAGAACTTCCTCTCATCAATGTTCTAAAAAGATTTATCTATTTTAGAGAGAGAGAGAGTGCATGAAGGGCAGAGGGAGATGGAGACAGAATCTCAAGTGACTCCATGCTCAGCACAGAGCCTGACATAGGGCTTGATTTCAAGACCCTAAGATCACGACCCAAGCTGAAACCAAGAGTTAGATGCTTAACCGACTGCACCACCCAGGTGCCCCTCTCATCAATTTTTTCATTACCTGACTTACAGTTAATGCAGAGAAGGCAGGGTAAATGTTTAATTCTTTCCCTTTATTTATCAATTTTCAAAATAATGAGTTGGTTTCCTAGCATCCTCCAAAGATGACAATGGGTTCTCTTTTAATTATAATCATTATCAGCATATCAACATCTACATTTAAACATATTTTGTGTCAATACCTTATAGTTATTATCCCTTTGTTGCTCTAATTATGCCATCTTTGACTTGAGAAAACTTCTTGAAGTTGGCTTCTGAGTCCTTTTGACATAATCCTGTGGTTTTTGTTGTTGTTGTTTGTTTAATTCTAGTGTTTTTTGATAATTTCCTTGTTTCCAGTTTAACAAGATGTTACAGGCTCATTTGCATGACTGATGCTTGGAATCATGAATTTGAACTGAGACTATCAAAGTAAACTCATAATATATTTTAACCCTAAAAATGTCTTTCATTGGAAAATCTCAGAAATATGGACTGAGAAGCAATAAGCACAACTAGAAGCCCAGATTGCGATGTCTTTATATAATTTCCCTCTAAATATCATTTCGTAGGACTTGCTGGAAAAATGGCTGATTCCACATGTGGTGCTGTGTTCTCATTTGAACTTCCAAGTTCATTCCTGTTACTGGCAGAATTGAGAATTATATTGAAATTCAGTTCTATATACAGACTTCAAATTGAACATCCCCTAGAAAAAGCTATAGGGAACCACTGACATTTTACATGGTCAAGTAAACAAAGTCAGATTTCCATTTTAGAAGTACCACTCGGACAGCAATTCAAGAATGGTGTGTGTGACAGGGGTGTGGCCAGCAGCTGCACAGGTGGGAGGATGCCTAGTTAAGGGTACTAGTTGTGATTCGTCTTGGACATGGGCAAGGCCTAATAAAAGACAGTAACAGTGGGGGAAATAGAGAACTGATTTGCTAGCTATTAAGAAGCAATAGCTTCAGGTCTTAGTGATTGAAGATGGTGTGTGGGGAGGGGGGGGCCGGGAGCCTGGAGGATGGGAGGTGGAGAGTACTGGGTTACCGAGAACTTCAAACAACTGTTTTTGTGCCAGGGGTAAGCTGTGGGAAAAGTCCTTAAGAGTAATGGGAGGGGGGCAAGAACTCGTGGAGGAAGCCCCCACATACCCCAGCTTTTTCCTATGAACTAGCCTTGTAATAATTAGGTAAATTTGAAAATGTCCTGCACAGGTGGGCATTCTAACCTGTGGTAACCAGCAGCCTTCAATAAGCCTGGGTTTCAGTCCTCTAAGAATTTCCGGAAAAGCTAATAATATAGGGGCCCTTTTGGCCTACCCGGTGAGAATTACTGGACAGAAATCTCCTGATATGAAGAGAGGTCTCCCAAGTGGGGAAGGAGGCACCTTGCAGATAACCACGAATCCCAGTCAAGATACTAATCATTGATGACCAAGGATGGGGCACTGACTGTTTTTTGAAGTTGTGCGCCGCCGAGCAGAATTTTAAAGCCACCAAGAACGTGTGGCCAATGAGCCGTCCGGTAAATCATTTCTTCCCTTTGCGAGGCTGTAAAATCCCTTTTTTAAATGTGGCCAGGTGGGTAAAGGGGGGCCAGGGTGACAAGGATACAGATTGGGCAGACACGAGACCGGTGGCCAGGATTAAGGAGGAAAAGCCACAGGGGCAAGAGACTACATCAACGTCTTCTCCCAACCAGCATCAGCTGCAAGGGAGCCAAGCACGCTAAACGCCGAGAGCCAGGTATCTCCCTTGCCCTTTCGTAGGCGGCACGCGCCTGGGACTCGTTTCCAGCCTCAGCGCCTGCGCAGCACAAGACGTCGAGCCGGGGAGAAGCCAGGAAACTTCCACGACTACCTTCTCAGGCCCCGCCCCCTCCTCAGAATCAAGAGGGAGGAGCGTCGCGCGCGTTCCGAGCGCCAAAGCCCCGCCCCCAACTCCGGCCTAAGGTTCGCGCCCGCCGCTTCGCCCCTCCCCACATACCTCTGCTCCAGACCCATTTCGGAGGCGCGGCCGACGCGCCACGCAGGAGGCACGAGCACGAGCGCGTGCGTACGTAAGCGCGTGCCGACCCCAGCGCGAGGAGGCCCGCCTTCCCGCCCCGCCCCCTCCGGCCTCTCCTCTCCTCCTGTTACCCTCCTGGAGCTGAGGATCCCCGCACCCGAGCGCACTCTGCGGCTATGGAGGTCCCTGGGAGCCTGTGCAAGAAAGTCAAGCTGAGCAATAATGCGCAGAACTGGGTGAGTCGGGGCAGAGGAGCGAAGGAGGCTCTGGGAGGCTGTGGCTGCAGCTCATTCCGGAGCCGCTGCTTCCCTCCCGCCACCTCTGCATCCTTCCTGGAGCTCGGGGATGGTACCCGAGGCCGTGGCGCCTCCCAGCTGGGGCGGTGTTGCGGGGGCTGGGGGTGCCAGACGGGCTGGCGCGGCTGGGGTCTCTGGCTGGGCGTGGTGTGCGGTCCGACCCACCTTCTGGGGGGGAAGAATGCCCTCTTCCCCAGCTCCTCGGCTCAGAAGAGACCTGGAAGAGAATCTTTTGGGAGTGAGCTGGCGGCTGCTGAAGCGTGCACCCCCGACGGGGGATGCTGCCCGCACCCCTTGAAGTGGCCTGAAGGTCTGCGGAGGAGGCGAAGGCGGGCGCATTCGGTGCGTTCTAGTTTTTCTTGGCTCTGCCAGTGCACTTAGCCCACGTTTGGATCCATCTCCACGTCTTTCCGTTTCTGAGTTTCAGTGTGAAGGGAGAGTACCCAACAATGTGGCCATTCATGAGTTGAGACTGCTCTGAACTGAGGTTCTTTGTGGCTCGGTATTAAATTGGAATGTCTAACAAATAACATGGAGTCTTAAGGACTCGATTTCCGGAGACAGTAAGGTATGGGAAGACTAATGGTTTATAACGTTTAGCAGGAACTGCCAGTTGCGGGCGCCTGGGTGGCTCAGTTGGTTAAGCGACTGCCTTCGGCTCAGGTCATGATCCTGGAGTCCCGGGATCGAGTCCCGCATGGGGCTCCCTGCTCGGCAGGGAGTCTGCTTCTCCCTCTGACCCTCCTCCCTCTCATGCTCTCTGTCTCTCATTCTCTCTCTCAAAAAAAAAAAAAAAAAAAAAGAACTGCCAGTTAGATTTGAAGGTCAAGTGCTGTGCTCTCAGAAGGTTGCTTCCTTCCTTAATTCTTTGATGATCAACGGCCTTAAGATTTTGTAAGTATAGAGCAGATTGCAGGGGGGAGAGGGGGAGGGGGGTGTCCAACTTCGGAGTCAGGAAAGGAAACGGTTTTAAGTTTAGATGGGTTTTTATTTCACAGTACAATACGATCACGAGGTTTAATTTTAAATGCAACCTTGCAAATCATCATTACCCTTGATGAGTCAAAGAAAAAAAAGCCATTTCAGGCAAATGTTCATTTGAAGTCGTGAATTTACCGTATCTCTTGTTACCAAGGATTCTCATGTGATTCCTTTCTCCTTTTAACCTTATGTGATAAGGAGGGAAAGGAGATAGAAGGTGAATTACAACATTGGAAAGAGCACTGGACTACTGGCATGGTCGCTGGTTCCAGCTTTGCCATTTAGTAGCTGAGTGCTCTTGAGGAAAAACACTCTATGTCTTTAAACCTTAGCCGACTTAACAAGGGTGTAATAGTGTGCATTTCACTGGGCTGTTTTGAGGAGTAACGAAGATAATGAATTTGAAGGTGCGGTGAAACCAGTACCATGTAACTTAGTATTGTTCCTGTACCTTGAAGTATTTCCTAGTTAGGGAAATAGGTTGGCTAAATTAGGGTATTTACAGATAATTTCAGTTATAACATCCATAATTTATTTATTAACTTTTGCCAAATAGATGTGTGTTCTTTGTAGAGACTTGTGCTGCTCTTGGAGAAGATGAAAAATGAGGGACTCCGTGCTTGCCTTCCAGTTGCTCATGGCCTGGTTGGGCTTGTAGGTGGCATTTGCCAGGTGATGAATATCACACCACAGTGAGTGGTGTAAGACGCATTTTATTGCAATTTAGTGCAGAGGTTAGTTTATCCTGGGTGTTTGGAGAGGGTTTATGGAGGAGAAATGTGCTCAGATTTGTGAGTCAGAGAGGGACTGAAGGAATAAGGGGGCTGGGAATAAGAATTAATATTATTTTTACTCCAGGAACAATGAAGAAACCTGTTTAACTACTCGGGAGATTTTTTTTTTTTTTTTTTAAGATTTTTATTTATTTATTTGAGAGAGACGGGGAGAGGTCCAGGGAGAGCGAGTGGGGGGGAGGGGCAGAGGGAGAGACTCTTCAAGCAGACTTCCTGCTGAACATGCCACCCACCGCAGGACTCAATCTCCTCACCCTGAGATCATGACCTTGGCTGAAACCAATAGTTGAACACTTAACCGACAGAGCCACCCAGGCGCTCCTACTCTGGAGAATTTTTATTGAGGAGTGGAAATAAGTTTGAATGGGTAGGGTGGGGCTAGGTTGTGCAGTTGTTAACGTTTGGTTGCTGAGTTAAGACTTAATTCCATAGGAGATTTTTGAGGATGCTAGAATTTTTAATTTTATGGGCCTTAGAAGTCTTTTTTTTGCCCCAATAGAGATGGGGCAAAAATCCCTCGTATTTCCCTTTCACATACGTAAGTTAACTAATGGACACTAGTGTGAAGAACCCATACGCCTTTAAAGTTTCCATCACATGACGAAATTGGATTTCCAGGAAGACTGGGCTACTGAGGAAATTAAATACTGCTAGAGTCCAGATGTCAAAGTCCTGGAGAACAGACAGGGTTATAGTGAGGTTTCAATGAATTAATAGATTTGAAGCATGCCTCGTGCATGAGCACTATTTAAGTTATTCTTGGTATGAATTCAAGTGTGAGGGTACAAAGGGCTGGGCTAATGTGGTAGTGGGAATAGTGGAATAGGTGCATTAAAAACATTCAAAGAAGAGTAAGAAGGAGCTGACCGGAATTAGGGGATGAAAGAGGGCGGCGGGTTAAAAGTTGATACTGAGGATTTAATCCCGGGACATGGGGAGAAAGGTAGTGACATGCTGGGAAATGGGGAAGTGATTGGGGGCTAGGGTAACAGGGATGATAGTTAAACACTGAAGGAGAGTTTACTCCTCATGGTTTTACACAAGCCCTTAACTTCTGCCTGGGATGCCTGGTAACCTTTATCACTTACTAAAATCTTCAGAGCTGTGGGCTGCTTTACCATACGGCGCGGCCTTCTGTGTGCACATACTCTTGCACGTTGCCGAATTGTTTGTGCACCCTGTATCATGTTGCACGCTGCTGTTACCATGTATTATGTAGTGAGATTTCATTACGGATGTTCTGTGTCTACACGCAGCTCATACAGCAGGATGGGGGTAAGGAGTGTGCTACAGAGTAAGCTTCGGTGCTTCCGATATTAAAAGCCTAGATAACATAAGTATCTCTGTACCGCTTAAGTTAGAGAATAAACTCCATATGTGGTAGGATTCAAATTACAGTTTTGTCATTTACCACCTGTGGGATCTTGGGCACATTACCTAACGCCTCTCTGCCTCACTGTCCTCAAAGGTAATAATGTAGTTAATAAAACATAGCTTATAGTGGAGATAATAGTGCTTACCTTCCTAGGGTTATAGTAAGGTTTAAATAAGTCACTATATTTGAAGCACGACGGTGGTGCGTGGCACATGAGCACTATTTAAGGTGTTCTTGTTATTATTTATTAATCAAAAATATTTAACACCAACTTTGTGCAAGCCTTTGTTTAGGTGCTAGGGATGCAGTGGTAAAAAGACAGAGCCCTACCTGCTCTCGTGGATATTGCATTCTGTCTGGGAAAGAGTTAATTAAAAGGCAAACAAATGAATAAGCTAATTTTCCCTTTTACCAGTTCTCCGTTTTTGAGCAGTTTGTTCCTTATACTGCTAGATGCCTTTCATAGAAGGCCAGTAGCCCACTCTGGATTTTGGGGAAAACCGAGGTGGAACAGAATAGAAACAAGCATTTAGAAATGGAACATACAGCTGATGAAAAGCTGAGGAAGAGGCCAGCATATTCATTCTTCAGAACATTGGCCTGTGTTCAGGGGCAGGTATTGATCTTCCAGGGAGATGCTGCTGGAAAAATTGCCCGAAGAAGAGGGAAAGCTGGACTTCTACTAAGAATGGACTCTTAATGTTGACTAACAGTAATAACAAGAAGAGTGATGGCAAGGTCTGGATCTGTGTTGTCTAATCTGATAGCTGCCAGACACCTGTGGCAATTGAAATTTAGCTAAAACTAAGTAAAATAAAAAATTCTTTTCCTTTGCTGCATGTTCTGCACTGCCATATGTAGTTAGTGGCCAGTGGAGTATAGAACATTTTCAGGGTCTTAGAGCACTGTATTGGACAGGGCAGGTCTAGAAAGTTCCTTTGGGATAGCCGCCAACACTTTTTCCTACTCTCTATGTATTTATGGATTCATTTTTACTTTCTTTCGGGGCAAGGAAATTTCGAGAGATAGTGGCTTCTTTGGAATCATGCTTCTGGGCGATTCTGCAGACCTGGCTTCTGGCAGGGTACCAGCAGTGTTAGCCTTCCCTTAGCAGAGTTGTGTCTCTAAATGTGAATTGTGAAATAAGCTCTGCCTGGCTCTGTTACATTTGAGTTTTGAGGGGTAGTTCTCTACTCCAACGGTTCTCAACCAGGTAAAATTTTGCCACTCCGAGGGGGGTGTTTGACAATGTCGGGAGACATTTTTGATTGTTAACGTGTGCGCACGCATGCACTGTGGGGCTTTTGGCATCTGTTGGATAGAAGATGCTGCTAAACATCCCACGGTACACAGAACAGCTCCCACAACAGAATTACCTGGTTCTAGAAGTTATTATGCTGAAATTGAGAAACACTATTTTATTCTTTGCTTTGAGTAAGAAAAAGGGAAAAAACTGCATAACTGTGAAATGCAAAATTAGTAATTTTCAAGTAAAATCTAGTTGATAATACCATTTTCTCATCCACCAGCCTGGAAGTCACCGTCTTTTGCTCTGAGACAGATCAATTATTTATAGCATACCAGTGACGGAATAGTCAAACTCCAACCCTGAATTGTTTTGAAAGCAAGTTACTAAGTAAATTAAGTGAAGAGAATAATTCTTCTTTTTGGTATTTACTTAAGTGGTAATTATTTCTGTGAAATATCGTTTAAGGGTACAGTTCTTTACCAAGTGAGTTTTAACAATAAAAATAGTGGGAATATTAGACATTATCTATAGAAGTCCAGTT